GCTTTCGCTGTATGTCCGTATGTATGCTTAGATCTTTAAAACTACGCAACGGATTTTGATGCGGTTTTTTTTAATAGATAGAGTGATTCTTAAGGAAGGTTTCCATGTATAATACATGCATATTGCACCCGTGCGAAACCGGGGCGGGTCGCTAGTTATAAATAAATAAATAAATAAGCCCAATCCCAATAAAGTCACAATTAGTAAACATGTTTCATTACAATTTAGTGTTGTATTAGGTAATACAACATTTTTAAAAGCACCATCGTACACGTGTTCCCTTTAAAAACATAATATATTGTAGTGAACTTGGTAATACAATAATGAGTAACGATGCAAAGTATGGGAAAGTATTTGTGAACAATGCCTGCAAAATATTATAATCCCACACAATTATAGTTCCTGCTTCATTGCCTAGCAACGAACACGAGAGGCCGTATTTTTTTCATAATCAAACGCACTTATTATATTCATTAAATAGATTTTGTGCCTACTATTTGTCTGCAAGTGCATTGTTAATCATTATCTTCATAAGACTTTTCCCGTTTCTGGCTGGACATAAATCTCTCCAGTATCCACTAATACCACGAACTTATAGATATCGTCACTTCATCGAGAAGTTCCCTATACTAAGTTTGCCTAGACTCAGGTATCTCTAAAGGTCCACCCTTTGGAAACGCCTATTCCGTTTACCTCGTCACCATCTACCCTGCTACCGTCAGCGAAAATAATAAGTCTTGCAATAAGCTTACCCCTACAATATGCGCAATACAGTTTATCGATCGTCTTCTAGAAGAAAACTAGCAATATCTTAATAATGTCAACATAAAACATTACATTGTTAAAGTAAAAATTACAATAACACGGAAAAATCTCTCATAATACGGTAATTGATAAACTACCTGACAACTTAGTTCAATAGTAATAATGTATGAATTAAAACATTTATCTTAATTAATGTGTAAATGATGAGCATTCAGTTAAACTACATCTAAAGATTACGCCGCGTCAGATTCCTATCAACAGTTCCATTACTCAAGTTGATTGATGGTTGACGTTTTGATACAAACACTGTTTACGATTATAAATCTAAACCCTATACTTAGATAATCCACGTTCCGCACCTAATAAAATATAGAGTACTACATAATTATCAGCTCGAGTAAATAAAACTCAAGTTTCAACCGACAATGTCAAGGCAATTCAATAATTTTTGATGCTTTTGTAAAGAATATTATTTTGTACTCAATTTTTTCTCTAATCACAATTTCACATTTTTAAACATAGGTATATGCGTGTTTTACTTAGTATGACTTTCATTCAAATCGGGAAAACCCTCAAGAGAAAACTCTTGAGCCATGCAATATTTAATTAGCTTGACTTTTAATTAGATACAAGATCAACTGATTTGCATATTTTCTAGATCAGGGTCATCATTGCTGGTTCTGTTCGAATTTCAATCATCCATGTCATTCATGTAATTTAATATACAATTTTCTCCTCTCAATAGTCATCACAAGTTCAAAGAAGAAATTTAAAAGGAATACAATTGCAGTCTCAATTCCTTTAATGATTTGATGAAAGTGCGGTGTTCACAATAAAGAAAGGTTATTTTAAAATTTTCTACATATCGTCGTTAAAATAGATCAGCATTCAAACAAATTATACATAGATTGACATATCTAGGTAACATATGAGATGAGAGTTTAGAAAGAAACTCTCGCTTTTCTCTTATTGTTGTCAATTATCCCACTTGTTTCCTATGATCTCTATAAGTAAGTAGGTGACAGATCTATGGTTCTAGGTAACCATGAATACAAGTTTAAAATGGAAAGTCTTTGAAAGAGTTTCCTTTTCATAGTTTTAAAAGTGAAAATATTGTTTTGGATACACAAAACTTTTACTAATGAAGAGGAAAAGAAAAAACAAATATAGGTATGTAAGTATCGAAGCTACGTATAAGCTTTAGATTCGTGCAGAATATAATAATACTTCTTAGGTACCTAATAAGGTATCACTGTAATTTTGTTTTATTCACAGATATATTTACTTCAATTTTCTTTGTTACAATTTAAAAGAACGAAATAACAAGCATCTCCTCCCATCGAAAAATAAATAATAAATCATCGTTCAAAATATCAAGTCTCAAACTATTTATAGGCAACACAATAAGACCATTCAATATTGAACCTTATTGTAACCTATATTTTATGCTATTGTAGGTGTGAAGCACCTGAATGAGATCCGAAGACCTCATTAAAGTGGTTTATAAGTTGAAAAACTGGATACTTAGGTGAATACCCTATGATTCGGAAGAGATACAGCCCTCAGATTGATTCTCGCCTATGCAAAAAGATGCATAGTTTTGAGAAAAAGCCATGATTTTGTATGGATTTAACTTGTTTGGTTACTTAATTTATTTAAAACATTTATGACCATCTTTGCTCTTTCCAAGAAGAAGTAAGAACCACATTTGACAGACTAGGCAGTAAGGCTCTCTGTGTAGAGGAGGCTCATAGTCCATAGTCCATAGTCCATCAGTGACCTGTTGCGAGCTGATTATTTCTTTTTGTTTTTGGTTTCCGTTTCGAGTTAATTAAAAATACTCAAATGTGAAACAAATGTATAGTCTCTGCCTTCTTCTGTGGGAAACAGGCATGAGGTTATATATGCCTGTATTTAAAAGTACACTAGTTTTCTCAGGACTGTTATTGTGAGTTGGTTCCTTCTTGCACAGCAGGCTCTTCAAGTAAAAAATTCACTTGCAAGTGAGGAGTACAAACTGCAGCTGTCATAAACACATGCAGTTTGTAGTCAGTCCATCATACAGCCTAGCATTGGTTATGCACAGAGGTTGCGAAGGTAACCGAGGTTCATTAAAAAAAAAAGTTTAAATTTAATTTTCGAATGTAATTTGTTAACCGTCAATACGCTCAATACAGCTATATCAATTTTGGTTAATGTAATTTTTAATATTTGCTGTAGTTTGTAGTTTCTTTCTTCATTATTTTGTGTGTAAAGCTTTAAGAGGCGGCAAGGCTACGTTACAAACGGTACCTATTCTTATTAATGTTTATTAGATTAGATAGACCCCAAAACTCATCCAAATCGGTTTAGCAGTTCAGGTGGTAAAATTAAAACGTAACCTAACAATATTAACTTTATACTATTGATAAATATTACCTATAATATTAAAAGTAGGTTAGAATACGTAACGTTAGGGTTTTGAAGGGAATCAATTTATTATTTACATCAATATTAGTAATTAGTTTTGTAATTAAAAAGTCATAAGATTTATTAACGTTCAGTCGTCACATAAATGTATAATATATTGTATTGTTTTTTTACGTGGAACTCATAACATAGTCAGTTTTGAAAAATGTAGATTCTAGCATTAGCAGCATTCAATATACGTGCTTTCTGCCTAAACCCAAGTATCTATTAGTTATAAGCTTTCTTGCTCTAAAGCTACGGCACTTGCAAATAATACCTGATAGCAGGTAGGTAAATCCGCGGGACAGACATATATATATGTATAAATACTTAAAAAATACATTTTAAATATCTTAAAAAATAACAAATATTATGATGAATATCAGAGATTTGCTACAGATTATTAACTTGTATGTTATATAAAAATATTTACGTCCCACGTCACCTGAATTTCATGACAATTGGTTATGGATGCTACGGTTACAACTACGTACGATCTTTGTTTTTTAATGACATTTGGCATATTTTGTAAAAATACCACTTAGAGACTAATTAAATGAACAGTTAACGACGTAAAGAAATTTTAATTACATGTCATAGTGATGTTAAGTATTTATTAATAATGCTACAATTTCCCGTATGTATAACTTGCACAGTTCTGATGTATCACGTCTAATGGTACATAATATCTACGCATTTATTAGGTACATAACATCAATCTTTTCTAACATGTTACATTGTTACGCAATATTTGTTCATTTATTTCCGAATAGTACCATCGAATGTGTCTCATTTATTTTTAAAACACATTAAAGCTACTACGATTATGAATATTGAACTAGTACCGGAAATTGTCGTATTCAAATTAAACTTGAGACAAGCGCCGCGTGCCGGTACGATAAAAATCACTTATGATATTTATTGTATTTCCTAATTATAATAATTTATTAAGACCTGTATGGTGTCAAATACGTATAAATAACACAATCACGATGATACTGGACGCACGGTGCATTCATTTTCAATGACTTCGACCGCGGTCACAGGTTAGTTCATTGTACAACTTTTGCTTTCGTACAAGGACAACTTTATTTACTTCCTATCTATGATCAAGTCATCTCGTAACAGGATTTCCACGTGCAAATTGAATACGAACATGTAATTATGAAATCATCACTATAGCCTTTGTTTTCTCGAAGGATGTGTTAGAATAAACATAAAAATATTAATTTAAATTTTTGACAATAATGACTAGGTAGGTAATTACTATGCACGATTTACTACATACGTCCATTCACCGGAACGGACACTATTGAGACGTCACTCTAATACACTGAAACATTGACTGAAAGCTATGAAAATAAGAACGTACTTGTTGCGCGTTTTCCGTCAGGGATCAGCTTCAGGCTGTGCGGCTTCTGCAGCAGCTCCTGCAGCTCCGGCTGGGGTTCGAACGAGTTGTTTCTGGACTTCATGTTTATTTACTTCACTTGCACAGGTGTCAATTATTTCATTACTATACGCACTTTTGGAAAATAATGATATTTGACTAAGTCGGCCGATGCTTCATCCGAGGGGCGGAGGCGCATGGCTCCGAAACGTGAAGTGTGCCGGGAGCGAGGGCGAGCTGCTATATAGCGCGGCCGCGGTGCACGGTGGTGCGGGCAGAGAGACGCGAGGATACGAGCAGAGCCGCGCCGCGACTGAGCTGAGCGCGCCCATCCGGTCAAGGGTATACTACACCTCGCGGACGCGGACCAACTGCCTAGCGCCGACAGCCGACACAGCCGCCGGCGGCGCCTTCGCTCCTACATTGTTTATTGTTGTTGTTCACTTACTTGAGAAAAACATGTCAATACTGTTGTTATTTATACATGTGTGATGATTTGTACAGTTTACACTCACAGTTTAGTCAGTTTACATTAATAGGTATACTAATAAAACGTAATTTTTAATGACAATCCATGTCAATTCAGTCAAACAGCATAGATGATTAAATCAAATTCAAACGCCTTCTATTCAATACGTTAAATATTCGAAAGCTGTATTCCAATTACTAAATTAATCGAAATAGCTAATCTAACTACCAGGTCGGTCCTTGTTCCGAAGTGAAGCAGTAAAACATCTTTCGCAATTTGTGAACTGCATGGCAAGTGCGTAAACCTGTACACAAATACAAAACATTGATACCTAAATACATACATACATACATACGTATGTACAACTAGACACTAGGTGAGGTATTGTAAAGGTTAATGACACTAAAAGTAAAGGGCTTAAGGAAGTCAAGTTTCAAGTTTCTGAAAATAACACTTAACGAACTTATTTTTAGTAGATTCTTTATTATGTAAATAGTAATTGCGACGTGATTAATGTATCGAGCTAGTGCAAGAGATAAACAAAATTATTTCTTATTTTTCAACGACTGAATTATCGGGTAATAGCAAGTGCATGCAAGCAATCAAGAAAACTCTACACCCTAAATACTTAATGTAACTACTGATTACAGCAACAAGCCATTTTTAAATCACAAGCCGCAAATAATCTGATTTAGGTGTCTACTTTGGTACGTGCACAATTTAACCAATAAGTTTCTTATTTACCGACTTCATTGTACAGTTCACATCAACATAACATCAGTTAATATTTAGTCCGAAATCATTGAATTTACTCTAGCGGCACCGGTAACTTTTATCTCCAAAGGCACATGTTAACACTAAACTTTAACTGTCCAGTTAAAATGGTGAAACTCAAACCTCCACTAGCGGTAGGCACCGGTGACTGACGAGGAGCTTTAAGGGTTAATATAGTGGTCGCGGAGAACCTAACGGGTTACCGGGGCTCCGGCTCGTCGTGCAGGAGAAGGAACGGGGTGGATTTTAGTCAGTTAGAGTCTGACACTCTGTCCCACCTCACCCAGGTGGGAGCAGTCACTTGATGATTATCCTTCCTTAAAAAAAGGGTTAATATTGATGGATTATGAAAGCATGTTAATCCACTAACTTTATTTACATTTCATTATTCTTCACATAACTTCATTATTAACATTTTTTATTACAAAATGCCACATTTTCATATAAAATCGTGTCAGGCCTCTAAGCTCTTGTTAAATCTCAAAAGCAATCTGGTTTTAAATCTGAGTGTACTGATGTACTGATTGAGATGCGATAGTATGTTCATGAGTCATTGAGACGTGTCCACTGACTTGTTCTATCTCGTTATTACATATCTTATGTTCCAGTTTTATAAAATTACATCGTTACAAACAATGGACAGCATAACTTGTAGTAGGAGCTGGTTTTGACCTGTTTTACTGTGGTTGAACTAGATGTCAAAGATAACAGAGAGACTAAAGACAAGGTGTTATAATAATTCCTAAAGATATCTTATAGACACAAAATGACTTATCGACAATATGTAAGTAAAGCAAAAATTAGCTAATCCCCTTATAGGACATAACGTAAACAAACGCAAATTTTAGCGACTTAATAAACTTAATAATAAATAAGGTACACTTGAATCCAAAAATGACCATAAATTTTATCAAAATAATCCTGTAACACTCTCACTGCCAATAAAAATATGTCGATTGGCATCGAATAAGGAAGAAACAAATAAAACTATAATTTACATAACAACTGTTGCTTGAATCTCCGAGGATCGAGCGTCTGCCCGCATATTGGGGGAAATACCTACTCTACGGCGAGCACCGTCAACTCTCACAGATTATGGTTATGGAAATTATTAATTTATACGATAAATTAAAAGTTTGGAAATTCAGATGAGTACCTATAATTTCACTATAAATAAACCCCAGAAATCACGACAGTTTAACCCCGATGTAAACAAGGGGCATAAATGATATTATCGCTAGACTAAGGCACTCAATCCATAGCGTGAACTATCCCAACTAGTTAGTATTATAAATATGGTTTGTTTGATACCTCTTTATCCTTTATTTATACACTTTACCAATTTTCTACAAATTCTGCATATTATATACATATTTATACTGAGTAGCATGCTATGTCTGATG